AAAAAGGCGACAGAAGAGGAGGTCTTCTTGCAGACCAAGACCTACGCCCTGGCAGACGTGAAGAAGGAGATTGAGGCCTGGAGGCCATCGATGGTGGAAGAGAGAGCAGCTTTGCTGAAGTCTGGCGTGGTGCGGGCCATTAAGCCACGAGAAGCGGAGGAGTTGAAGAGAGAAGCGTTGGAGAAGGGCATTCCGTATGACCGGGTGCCGGGAACGGCGGTTTTCACAAGAAAGGCCGCTACAGGGCGCCGGAAATGCCGAGGCGTTGCCTGTGGAAACTTCATGTCGGAGCGGCCGGCCACGGACACCTATGCGGGAGGCATTGACGCTTCTCAGGTGCGGGCGATGGTGGCTGCTGGAGCCCAGCGAGGGTGGGACCTGGCGGGGGTTGATGTGAAAACGGCCTTTTTACAGGTGCCACCGGGACGTTCCAAGGACATCGTGGTGGTCAATCCGCCTACCATCTTTCAGGAGTATGGGATTACGGAACCTGGAGAACTTTGGGCCGTTGAAGGTTCGGTCTACGGGTTGACCACCTCCCCGAAGGACTGGGCGAAGCACCGCGATCAGACCATGGGCGAGATCAGCTGGGAGATGACAGATGAGGAAGGCACATGGTCGTGCTGGTTCGAGAAGACGAAGGAGGTTAACTTGTGGCGGGTGAAGAGTCGGAGACGGGGGAAGAACGAGACCATCGGCTACATGGCGGTCTACATCGATGACATGCTGGTGACGGGTGCTCGCAGGTCGGTGGAGGCGGTGTTGGCAAAAATCCGGGAAACCTGGGACACGAGTGAGCCGGACTGGGCTTCTGCCACGGAGGATTTGAGATTCTGCGGCTTTGAGTTCGCGGTGGATGCTAGTGGCGTGAAGATGCATCAGCAGAGCTACGTGACCGACCTCCTGGACCGGCACCAGATCGTCAAGGGTGGCACGCTGGCGGGAATTGGAGTTCCTGAGGAAGAAGATCCCCCCAGCCCGAAGGATGTGCACAAGGCGCAGGTTGTGACCGGGGAGCTGCTGTGGCTTTCGGCACGAATGCGGCCCGACATCACGTACCCCGTAGCCGTCATGGGTCAATGGACCACAAGGAGGCCTCAGGGCGTGGTGAAGATCGGAGAGAAGGTGCTGCAGTATCTCTGGGGGACTGCGAAGGAAGGGCTACACTATAAACGCCTCGGTGAAGGTGATCATGGACCTGACCACCAGCAGCATCGTGAGCGGCGGCGGGATGCGGTGGAGTCCTACGCGGACGCGTCCTTCGGAGCCCACGAGAACAAGTCTATCTCCGGCATGGCGGTGTATTACTCTGGTTGCCCTATTTTCTGGGCTACCACGCGTCAGGCTTGCAAAGGGGGTTGGTGGCCTGGTGGAGGAGCTAGAGGAAAGCCCGGCGGAGCTGCGGCTTTACAGTGATAGCAGTGCAGCCCTGGCCATCGTGAATGGAAGTTCGGGAAGCTGGAGGACCCGGCACTTGCGCATTAGAGCGGCAGCGCTCACGGAGGCGGTCCAGCAGGGGGCAATCCAACTTCAACATGTTCCCGGCCAGAGCTTGGTAGCAGATGGCTTCACGAAGCAATTGGGGGCATCGCCTTTCGGGCGCTTCAAGGAGTCGTTGGGCTTCTACAGTGGAGCGGAGGAGGTTGGCGAGGGCCAGGTGAAGATCGTCAAGATCAAGAAGCTGGAGGTTGGTCGGAACGAACAACTGGAGAAGGTCCTGGGGCTCCTTGTGGTGGGCTCGACCTGTGTGGAGTTGGCAGAGGCAAAGGAGCTGGATGATGACGACACGGGAGGAGAGTATTGGTGGTTGATTGTGATCACGGCGGTGGTGGTCCTGCTGAAGCTGATCAAGGAGATCGGGCTGACGGCGTTGAGGCACTGTTTGCGAAAAGAGGAGGAGCTTGGGTTCCAAAGGCTCTGCGAGGAGGCGGTGCTACCGGAAAGGCCCACGGAAAACGCGGCTGGAGTGAACCTTTTCGCGATGAACCAGGTGGTGGTGCCGGCGGGGAGCTACACGCTGGTGCGGACGGGTCTGAAGGTCCAGATGCCAAAGGGGACGTGCGGGAGGATCACTGCAGTGGCCAGTTTGGCACGTCAACACTCTTCACCTCCTTGATCCTGGCCACGGACACTTTCTCCAGCACCATCTGCGCCACGGCCTCTCCCGGCTTGACAATGTAGTCTGCGTGCCCGTAGTTCCTGACCAAGATCCTCACTTCACCGCCGAAGTCCCGCTCAATCACTGTCGCACCGGCTTCCACCAAGAAGAAGCCGAAGGACGAGGTGGAGCCGTCGGTGAGATCACTCATGGTGGAGAAGGCTGCGGCTTCAGTGGGGACTTCGCCCGTTGAGTGGTTGAAGCCGGAGGTGAAGGGCTTTGGGAAGGTCGGTGAGAGATCGCGGCTGTGGAAGGCTACTCCCGAGGGTGGAGGTGGTGATGGCCCGCCGGAGCCGACCGAAAGGGCTTCGCAGGATGAGCCTGGGGAGGATGAGTGGCAGGTTGAGTTCTTGGAGAACGAGGTCAGGCTGTCGCACATTCATATGGTGGCACGGTACTGGGACTATATTCCAGGACGGCGAGATCTACCTCCGGGCATACGGTTCGAGGAGTTGGACCAGGTGCGAGTTTCCGAGATTGCGCCGGACGAGGAGAATGGTATGGTGTGGGAGAGGCTGGTTGAGAACTGGCACGAGGAGCATTGGGAGAGGCGAACGCCATGGAGGGGATCGTCAAACTTCAGGGTGTTGAGGAGGGCCGGGCCCGAGACGAGCGGATCGAGTTCGGCGGGTTCAGGTGGAGGACCTGGAGGCGGTGGAAATGGTGGTTCTGGCTCGGGGCCTTCGGGATCTTCAGGAGGGACACCGTCGGCTTCGGGACCGGGAACGGCGAGTACGGCACGATTCGGGACATCGGGAACTACCGGAGGTGAGGGTGAGGGCGCAGAGGAGGTTGCGGCCAAGCGGCCTCGGGTGTGCGGTGAGGAGGTGATCTAGAGGCGTCTTGTTGGCGCACCTGGGCAGAACATGCTGGACATAGTGCGGATGGCGTTTTTCCAGGACGTGGAGGCGAGCGTGGTGCTGATGACTGAGATCTTGGCATCGCGTCCGCAGGGGGTGCGAGATGAGTGGATGGACGTGCCCCTGCCGGTCGGCATCGTGTTCGGAGTGCAGGTGCACAGAAAGGAGAGAAAGAAGCTCTTCGACACGGAGCGTCAGGGCTTCAACGAGGTGAAGAGGACCGTGGCATGGTCCGTGGTGGGAAGTGGAAAATGGGTCGATCGATCCATCAGACGCGGGCGCAAGGAGAAGTATGAGTTCACGCCGTGGGTCGGGTACACGATCTTCGTGCGGGAGAAGGGGGCTTGAGCGCGGGCAGTTCTTTTGGCGGGCAAACCCTAAAAAGAGGGGGAGCCCTGAAATCCGCTTTGAGGATGAGATGTTTCTGGGGAACAACCCCCTGGATTGGAAGTTGCTGAACGACGAGCGCCTGCTTAGGAGTCAGTGGTAATAATAATCGTAATAATAATCGTAATGATAGCAAGAACAATTGTACTAATGATAATAATAAAAGAAAATATAAAATGACAAACAATGAGAATAATTAATCATAACAATAATAGTAATAATAAACATAATGCTAATAACATGAAAAATAATAATCATAATAATAATAATGGCCATGGTACTAAAAATAATAAACACAACAATAAAATAAATAAAAACAATAATGAATAATAACAATAATAATGATGATGCTACTGGTAATAATAGTAATAATGACAACGATGATAATAACGATAATAATAACAATCCGCCGACCCCATGCCTGGTCCAGAATGGACCATGCTTTCGGCATGGGGGCGGTGTGTTCTGCTTTGCTTTTGTTGATATGTTTTCTACAGGTTTAATGTGGATATAATTATGTGTATATATATATATATTTTTCCTTGGGGCGGGAAAATACGTCGGCCGGATTTCTGGATCTCTGGATTTCTGGATGTCTGGATTTCTGGATGTCTGGATCTCTGGCTGGCTGGATCTCTAAATCTCCGGATTTCCGGATCTCTTATCTGGATGTCTGGATCTCTATTTTTCCCCCCCCTCCCCGCCCCTCCCCTCACCCCCCCTCACCCCCCCTCCCCCCCTGCCCCCCCTCTCCCGTATCTGTCTACGTCTGCGTATCTGTTTACGTATCTGTCTGTCTCTCTTTGTGTCTGCGTCTGTCTACGTATCTGCGTCTGTCTGCATGTCCGCGAAGACCCTCCCCCCCTGCGTGTCCGTCTGTGTCTCTTTGTGTCTGTCTGCCGTCTGCCTCTGTGTACGTATCTGTCTATCTCTCTTTCTGTCTGTCTGCATCTGTCTGCGTATCTGCGTCTGTCTTCGTGTCTCTGAAGACCCTCCCCCCCCCCCTGCGTGTCTGTCTGTGTCTCTTTGTGTCTGTCTGTGTCTGTCTACGTATCTGCGTCTGTCTTCGTGTCCGCGAAGACCCTCCCCCTGCGTGTCTGTCTGTGTCTCTTTGTGTCTGTCTGTGTCTGTCTACGTATCTGTCTGTCTCTCTTTGTGTCTGTCGGTGTCTGTCGTTCGCCCCGGGCCGAAATTCTAAGGTGTATGGGGGCGGCGGAACCAGGCCGCAGGCCATTCAATAATGATAATGATTGTCATTCTTAATAATAATAATAATAACAATAATAATAATAATAGCTGGAACAAAATCGAATCCCAAATTGTTCAGTCCAATGGACATGGAGGAAAAACAGGCTGCGATGGGATGAGCCACCAAACTGCTACGGCTACCTTCAGAAGTACGTGCCCCAACTACCTCCTTGCAGGCAGCATCCAAAAATATGTGCGGGGCTCCCACAATACAGTGCCCCTTGACGTCTGTTTCCTGTTGGACGCTCTTCCAAAAGACGCTCCGAAACACTCATCCACATCCAACCAGAGCGCAAGCTCACAAAAAGCAAAGAAAACAAACGACGAACCGCGCAAGGCAGGTGAGCCTGCCATCGCAGGCCTTCCATCTCCCACTCGAAGCTCGTGTCTGGCTCATGGCGAGGCCAAAAAATGGTCAAGTGCATGCCTGAGGGGTGGGGTGGTGGGTGGGTGGGTGGGTGGGTGGGTGGGTGGGTGGGTGGGTGGGTGGTGGGTGGTGGGTGGTGGGTGGTGGGTGGTGGGTGGTGGGTGGTGGGTGGTGGGTGGTGGGTGGTGGGTGGTGGGTGGTGGGTGGTGGGTGGTGGGTGGTGGGTGGTGGGTGGTGGGTGGTGGGTGGTGGGTGGTATGGTGCCTGCAAATTGAGCCATTTTGGGTACCAATTGACAACCCTTGCAGGGTGGTGTGTTTGTATGGCAGCAGCTGTTGGCTGGGTTTAAGGGAACAAAACACCCTGCCATTCTGGGGATTCCCAAATTTGACAAATCCATATGTTTCACACACAAGCTCATCCACACTGCTTCCATCAACCCAGGGACTGTTACAGACTCTTAAGCGAAACCACAATGAGGTGGCTCGCTATTGTAGGAGACCCGTAGGATCCTGTCCCGTAATTTTCCCCATCACCACTCGACACAAGGTCTCCTTCCCAGCCTAGGGTGGTCAATTCACTTGTTCTAGTCTTCCCCACAGAAGGCTTCATGGAATAAATGCGGATCGCATGAGTTCACTCCTCCCCAATTCCATGTTCAAGAGGCCGGTTGGCAAACATATCGCATGGCATGCCACAAATATAGCCCTGTGGACAGTGTGCCGCCTTGCGCCACCGACCAGGGGCCCCAAAAAATGAACGCCAATCAGTGGGGAGCCCCAGTAAACTCATACAAGGCGCGGCGGAAAAAGCCACGCACCGAATCGCCTGCTTGCACCGCGTGCGGCGCGTGCGATCCTGGCGTGCCATCGCTCAAAGGCGGTGGATCTTAGTGTCTACTCTGGTTGTTGAATTACCGAAGTACCCCCGGGGAGTACGCCCTGCAAAAGGGGCGCGAAGTCCAAAATGGCAAGATATGTTCTGAAGATGACGCCGACAAGGTAACTTTGCAGCGGGCTTGATCGCAGTGCCCAGGCACAATACAAACCCCTCAGAGCTAGATCTTAGCCTTTGGCGCGGGCGACCATGATGAGAAACCTCTAGGCATGATCAGATCTGAAAAGTTGCAAACCCCTGAGAAACTTGGACGTATGCACCTAGTATCCAACTTAAAACATGCATAAGATGGGCACGACTCCTCAAGTGACTGGACTCTTTGGTGGGCAATCATTACATTGGGATGCGTGTCCACCAACCCTATGTTCATTCTGCTAGGGGGGGTGATTCCCTATGTTCCACCGGCATTTTTTGTACGCTGGTGCTCCCACAGTTTTGGGAATGAACCCAGGATTCCCGCAAAGGCAAAACAAGGCATTGTTTATAGAGGTCATTCCATTTCTCCTTCCCTGCCAATCGCACCAAGTCAAACATCAGGGTGCTCCCTGGTGTCTGTGCTTTCAGGATTCTTCCATTTGGATAAGGACCCAGGAAAAAAAAATACAAATATGTCCAGTAGTGATGAATTCCTTTCAAAACCAACAAGGGAAAATAACAGATGTTCCTAAGCAACTGGAGGGATTCCATGGGGAAATCACCCCCCCGGACTCTTTTCGGGATCCGGTCCTTGTGGCCACGCACCATGCCAGCCTTGCGAGAGCGCCAGAGGCTTGGACGTTGCCCAGCTGAGTTTGTCCTTGTGCCTGAACCAACCAAAACGGGTTCCCAGATTTGTGTGTTGCAGACACACTTTTTTTGCCTCTTTGTCCTCCCCTCCCTCTTTTTCCACGCCGAACGAAAGGTTCCCAGTTCTCATGGTGCCCTGCAATAGCAAGCATTGCATTTCTTGCTGTCTTGGTGCTGCTACTGGTCGCTGTTTGATCACTGCTGCAAATCATTGAAGTTGGCGGCGAATGGGCCGCGCTTCCTGAGCTTAACTTTGCAATCAATTTCACTGCTGCTCTCCTGAATCTAGTCACTTCACATGGTCTAAGGGGAGAAGCTGCTGAGCACAATGGTGATGCTTCCCCGAAACCAGAAGCATGCGCAGCGCTGCGCGGTCCTTGTCCAAACCCATGCCAGGAATGAATGCCCATGGGCTGTCCTGGCGGAGGCTGCTCGTCCAGCAAGGAGCTGCTCAAAGGCATGCGGCAAACACTGCCACTGGAACGTATGTCCTCACCCAAAGTAGGCCATCATGTTAAATACCAAAACGCTGTGCACGCTTTCAGCTCTGGGCATCGCCTTTATGCCTGGCCGGCTCCAACTCAACAGAGCGCACTCAACGAAAGCCTTGGCCGCATAGAGAACATAATCAAATGCAGAGCGGCTAACCAGGCTGCCGCTAGACAGTATTGCGGCAGTACCTTGCTTATCGTGTGAAGTTTCTGGTCGCCGCACCGTGTTCGACCAGTTCTGGAGCGAATCATTGGGGTCGGCGGCCAAAGGTTCGAGCCATGTCGAATAACAATTAGTTTAACGGAAGTAAATACCGGTTCCCTTCCAAATTCATTCACCCGCCAAAAGAAAACGGCGAGGACATATAACCGCTGATTTTGCTTGTTACAGTGAAAAACAAACGGCTGCCAGACCAAGGCTAGACAAGCAATCTGGCCATTGAACCTAGTACGGGTCGCCCGCAAGGTCTTCTTTGGGTTCAGGGTGATTAGAATAGAACTTATGGTGGGGTTTAGTGCTTAGGTTGCTTTTGGTTTTAGGGTTTCAGGGCTGAGGGCTTCTTATAATGAAGGCTTGTAAGGTGTTGGGTTTTCGGATTCTATGGCTTAGGGTGTTCAACGGTTCTAGGGTTCAGGGCCATGGGTGCTTAGTGTGAGTGTTTAGGGCTTGGGCTGGGTGCTTGAGGGTTCGGGGATTTGAGTTTAGGGTTTGCGGGCTTGGGCTGTTTGATTACTTAGGTGTTTGGTTTCGGGGAGCTTCAGGGGTAAGTGTAGGGTGTTTCGCGCTCCACTTTAGGGTGGGTTCCGGTTTCAGGGGCTTAGGGATTGCTTTGAGGGTTTCGCTAAAAGCTTTGGGTTTGCCCTCGAATTCCCGGATCTCGGCGAGAAAGCCGCCGCGATTTTGAGGGGTGCCAGAGGCTACTTGGGGGAGGGTCGCGGGCAAGCACGGAACCAATAACCAAAGAGGATCGAACAGGACAAAAGAGAACGGACGACTCAAAATGGCCGAAGGCTGCTCTCAGTTCATTTCGTTTTAAGTGAATGTCCTTTATTAACCCTCCCAAGAAAGCCCCTGTACTAATGACAACCCAAGAATAATTGAAACACAAGAAAGCGGTTCCAAAACCTGATTCCACAATCACTATCACTGCTGCCCTTCTCGTAGTCACACCACACGTGGCAAGGAGCAGGGGGGAGAAACTTCCGACAATGGTGATGTCACCCCGAAAGCAGCACGCGCATGCATGGCTGACAACAGTCGAAAACCAACCAGTGCTGCGAGGTCCTTGTCCAAGTTCTCCCCACGAACACGCATTGCAAGGAATGCCCATGTTCGGGACCGGGAGTTGTCCTGGCGATTGGATTTCGAGTCAACGTCTCGTAGGAGACTTTGCAAAAATGCAAAACTGGACAAATAGTTGCTATCTGTGCCTCTTGTGCTTCCAATACCACCGTGAAAAAACAAAAGCTGCAACACACACTGTTTTCGTGGCTTGCCGGCAGCTTGTTTTTCAGTGCCTAGACACGCTCTTTGCATATCATCTCTTGTTCATGTGTGCGGCCGCCGCCTTCAGTGAGTGGATATCTCAGCCTTGCCTTTGCGCAAGCTCTGTTGAGTCGGAACCAGCCAGCCAGGCAAAACGGCAGGGCACAAGAGCTGAAAGCGCACGCAATGCTTTAGTATTTAACGCGGAAGAAACGCGGGCATGTTTTCCAGTGTGCGACCAGTGCCGAAGCGAAGCATTGGGAGCAGGGGCTACCACTTCGAAGAATAAAGACATCAGAATTGCTTTCCAAACCTTCCGCAATCACAAGTGCTGCTCCGTCAAATGATTCGCACCGGAAACCAGGAGCACGAGACTAAAAACAAAGACTCGCGCGGTCCGCGCGGTCCGCGCGGTCCGCGCGGTCCTTGTCCAATTCCAGCCCATGGGCATCCATCGCCGGCAAAGCCTCCTGGACGAAAAAGCTACGACCGCAAGCCTTGGAGCGCGCATGGCAAGCCTTGGACACGTCCACTGTGGACTTTCGCATGCCCAAAGAACCCAGAAATCAAAGGTTAACCTTTTGGGTCCATGACTCAAAATGGACCAAGAAGCGAACTCAGGTGGAAAGGTCGGCTTTGGGCAAGTGAGTTTCCTTTGCCCTAACTTTCACGGCTGGAAAGCGGGTAGGAGTCAAAACCACACCTAGCGCTTGCCCGCCAAGAACGGGCCACACTCCAAAGTCGAGAGCCCCATCGGGCCGGAACCGGTTCCGGCCTTCGGGCCAAAAAGAAACGCACGCGCGCGCGCGCGCCGAGCCGTCCTGTTTCCACCACGTACCTCGGACATCGGCAAAGAGAGGCAAGTGCCAGGGTCCAGAAAGCGGTCCCAACCCGCAGGAAGGGGGCAATTCGTGAGCCAAAGGGGCGAAATCCACATAGATCACCGGCAACTCACTGCCTACACTGCCCGTCTGACAAAGATTGCGGTGCTGGAGTTGGTCAAAAAAAAAAAGGAACCTGAGGACTCACATTCGCAGCTGCGAGGAGAGACTCGAAAAACCATGCCTCCAGCTCACGTCTTTGAAGCTGAGGCTGGTGCAGCCGAAACATTCCTCCTGGGCCAGAAATCATGATCCGATCTCACTTCCGTCACCTGATGGGGCTAAGTCAGATTGGCAAAATACCAGAAGCAACACGGCAGAACGACAGCAACAGAAGGACACCAACAACAGAACGACAGCAACAGAGTCTCAATTGTGTCACATGGGGGTCAAAACTCCTTATCATCCCCTTAGAACGATTTCTCGATTCTGTCCATGACTGACCCTACCAAAAAGGGTGTTTTGACGATGGCAGTGGCTGGCCTGGGTGTGAAAGGAAGCGGTTGTGGCCAAAAGCTTTGAGCTGGAGCCGAAGGCTGCCAGAATTCAGCGCGGAGAGAGCTGCACAGGTCACAACTCGAGGCAGACGTGAGTCACCGAACATATGGCTGTGGGACAAAAATGGGTACCCAAAATTGGTTGCCCTGGTAAATGGAACCAAGGACTAAAACCTGTGGTCCCCTGGTGGTTTAATTTTGACCCACACCCATATGATTAGTAGGCGAATTTCTGGGAGGACATGCCACGACTACACAGCCAGACAAATCGTTCAGTTTAGCTATGGCCTTCTGGAGCATCCAAATAATGCCCGCTTCTCAAACCATGCATGCATGTTGCAAACAAAACGCGAGCCGAACAAGGAGAGGCCCGCCCATCGTGCAAAAATATGCACCAGATGGTTGATAAACCGCCCACTGGGGCCCATTGCCCCACTCTCAGCACAGCTCAGACCCAACACGCGCCTCCATTGGCTCGTGCCCGCCTGCGCGGAAAAGGCGGTCGATCCTCGCGCTGGAGAGGTCGCTAGCTTTTGAAAGCGTGAGAGAAAAGGTGTGTGTTTTCTCGCATGGGCCTGTGGTGGTGGCATTTGCCATAAGAATGAATTTGTGGGTGAAAGTGCCAAGCTGACACGGGGTGAGCCATATGAAGAAGATCACCAGACGGGGGCACACATTTCCCTTTTGAACAACTTTCAAAGAGTCCAGCTCGTTTCGACAACACGTGGGGTGGCCGAAAATCGAAGCACCGAATCGGGGGTCCCCTAACTCGAACCCATATATCACACAGGAATACATTTCCCGCCAAACGTTGATCCATCTAGGGAAGAACTTAACTGCCCCGTGGAACTGCAAATGTTCCAAGATAGGACATAGACCTCTGCCCGAGGGCGGGGCCAGCTCGTTGAGAAAACCCAGTTAGATTCCGGCCTCAAGGGCCGGGTCCCGACCGGTCGTCCCTTTGGCTTGAGCAAAGCGGCGGATCAAAAGCCTTGACCTTTCGCTTTGGGGCGGTTTGGACTCTTCCACTCATCAAGTTGTGTTTTTCACCTTGGAGGGTGCCCCTTTCTTTTTTCCCCAAACAGCGAAGCATTGGGGTTCTAACTTGAGGTATAGAGAATGGGAAAGTGTGACGCCGATTCCGGGGTCCTGTTCTTCCTGTCTCCCAGTCTCTCCTTGTCCCTGTGTCTCCCAGTCTCTGCGGTCAGATGCCAGATGCTGTGACGCCGGCTTGTCTCCCTGTGTCTGCCAGTCTCTGCGGTCAGATGCCAGACGCTGCTCCGGGTCGTGCCTCCTGTCTCCAAGTCTCTGCGGTTGGCTGTTTGTTTAATGCTTACAGCCCTCAACAGGGTCCCGGGCAAAACCAACTGAAGCTGCTTCTTCTTTGCGGGTTTTGGGGCTGACCTTGCTTGCTGCCAGCTGGCTGTTTTCCTGCTTACAGTCCTCAACAGGAAAAATGAAGGTCCCGGGCAAAACCAACTGAACCTGTTTCTTCTTAGCTGCTGGCTTGCTTGGCATCCAGTAACCGGCGTTCGGCTCCCTTCGGCTCCCTTCGGCTTACGTGGCAGCAGCTCGCAAGCGCAATTGAGAAGCATCAAGCTAGAAACATAGATTCGACAAGTCAGCAGGAACCACTTCCAACAATGCTTCGCAACGGGGAAAGGGCGTGTCGCAGACTTTGCTGTTAGCCTGTGTGCAAAGGATGTGCCGCTCTCTTGGCCCAGCGCAGGTTTGCATCCTTGTGGAGCATCGTTGGAGCTAGAAGCAAGCAATGTCGAGCCGTATTTTTTCTCGATAAACAAACAAATCGTGACATCCGGCTGATTGCTTTGCTCAGGAAACTGTCAAGCGCAGGTTTGCATCCTTGTGGCGCACCAGCAGGGCCCTGTCGAGCCTTTAATATGACTATGTTTCTCGATAAAAAAACAAATATATAGTGACATCCGGCTGATTGCTTTTTGGAAGCCAGTGCCGCACTTCTTGGTCAAGTGTGCGCACTTCTTGGTCAAGTGTGCGCCACAAGGATGCAAACCTGCACTTGACCAAGCATTTAAGGCTCGAGCTCAGCATGCGTCACAAGGATGCAAACTTGCACTTGACCAAGAAGTGCGGCACCCGCTTCCAAAAAGCAGCTCTGTATCCGCCGTATTTGTCTATCGACACCAGTCTACATATTTAAGGCTCGGCAGGGCTCTGCTGATGCACCACAAGGATGCAAACCTGTCAGCTGAACAAATACCGTGACATCCGGCTGATACTGAGCTGCTTTGTGGAAGCCAATGCCGCACTTCTTGGCCAAGTGCAAGTTTGCATCCTTGTGGCGCATCAGCAGGGCCCCTGTGTCCATTTTTCTTGATAACCAAATATACATCCGCCTGATTGCTCAGGCTTCTAAGCTGCTTTTTGGAAGCCTTCTTAGTCAAGCGCAGGTTTGTGGCGCATAGAGCCCTGTCGAGCCTTGCAACAAGAAAGGGTGCTCGAACTACAGTGATGCTACCAAGAATAAACTAGAAGATGGGTGGCCCGAAAGCATGAGCAGCGCGCGGCGCCAAGTAATCCTAGCAAGTTCTCTGCGCAAGTTCCTCTGAGCAAGTTGTTGGCGCGAGTTCCTTTGATCAAGTTCTCCAGGCAAGTTCTTGGCACAAATTAGCTGAGCAAGTTCTCTCAGCAACTTGAATCCTGAACAAAGCAATCAGGCGGAAGTCACGGTATTTGTTTATCGAGAACAACAGTACATACATAAGGCTCGGCAGGGCTCTGCTGATGCGCCAGAATGCAAGCCTGCACCTGACCAACAAGCGCGGCACCTGGCAAGGTCGCAGCTTTGACATATCTCGTTGCCTCCTGACAGAAGGGTTGAAGACAGATTTCTCAGCCTTGTTTCCACATATTCCGCAATATGGACGCTGCTGTTTTGCACGTGTCTGAAAGTGCCAGGGCTTGCAAGTGCGAGGGCTCAAGGGTTTTCATGGCGGGACGTCGTAAGGTGCCATCCTCTGAGCAGGCGCTAGCTTCCCTACAGTCTCTGGACCCATGGAACACCAAAGCGGTCAACGTGAGCCGTATTGCATGGCGCTTGTGCTAGCCTCCCGCAGTGAGTCTTTTTGGAAATCCGAGAAATTCCATTTCATTCTCGCAATCAACGTTCATTTCCGAGACCTCGACTTGAATTTGGCAGCTCCGGGCGAGATTCCGATTTACTTGCTCGCAGCATACGTGGCTTGTCGGGAAACCAAGCTGGAGGGATGTGCTGATAGCATCAAGACCAACACGTGCTACAGACATGGCCCATCCATTTCTTCTTTGACGACACAGCTTCGCCTCCACTACGCCTTGAACATCGATCCCCAGCAACATTACGGAATGGCGGCTCTGGTGCTCAATGCGGTGACTGCAACAAGGAGACACGGTCATGGCCATGTTTCGACATGTTCGGTGGCTCTATAATCTAATAAGAGTTTCTAACGCCGCCGCCGTGTTTGATGCTTTCTTTTTGGGTTCCCATCAACAAGAGCCGTTTCGCCAATCGCAGAGTGGCTTGGTTACCTGCTCTTGGAGATCTGCTGCTATCGCAGAAAACGACGAGCGAACACACAGTCAAGCAGGCGTGCTTATCATCTTGTTGCATCGTAAGGGGGGGGTCCGCTCCAAGGTTTGTTCTGACCGGTTTCCAGAAAGAATTGTCCTGGAAGTATAGCCTGGGTGAGTCGGGTCCCCAACCAAACCATTAGCTCGTAAAAGTTGTTTGCGTCGCCCCTGCACTTGTCGAGTTCTCCTCGAAAAACTTGGTTGATGCATAGGAGCTCCTGACAACTTGGAAAGAGTTCACGAACCCGGCCAGTTGATTACAGTGCTGCTGGCGCTGAACGCAAGGCCCAGAAGTTGTTGCCAGCGGCGTGCGTTGCAATGACGGCCGCCGGTCGTTCACCACACATGTGAACACCAATCTGCGAACCATAAGCACCAACTCCAAGATGAACCCGGCCAAGCTGGTGGTGTCCACTGCGCAGCCAGCATTGGTAAGTTGGGGCAAAGCTCTCACGCGTTTCCGAGATGGAGCAGGGCTGGAGCTGACGTTCAAAGCCAAGCTTGTTCCAGAATGGAGCGGTGTTGGGCCCATGGAGCAAAGCCACGCGTTGGCCATCTTGGGAGCACGCAGCGCGCTGGACACGAAAGAGATGAAGGCCCTGGATGACCAAGCTACTGCCGGCTCAAACACTGAGGATTTTCTGGAGCTGTGCCGGGTGACAGAGGTGCGTGCCAAGCGGGCACCTTTGCTAACGCTTGCCAATTTGGCGCGGCGTGTGTCTGCGTTGCTAGGCGAGGATGTCCCGGTCGTAACGTTACAAGGCGCAGTCTGCAAGTTTATGCAAGTGCTCTCTTGCTTTGCTTGTGGCAAGACCTTTAGCCGAGCTCGAGAAGCAGATAGCAACCAGAAGTGGCATGTGTCCAGTCTCGGCCGCAAGCTGCTGAGACTGATGCGCAAGTTTCAGCAGAGTAGCGAGACGGCCACCAAATGCTGCGGTGATGGAAAAGCGCATAATTGAGTGTCCGTACTACGAAAGGTCGAAACTTCCTTTGATTAATGCCAGGTGTTAGGTTGATTCACCCCGAATCCCTGGGGCCTTCACTCTCGAACATGGCATTGACATGGAATTTTCTCCCCGAAGTCGATGAACAACATCGATGCTTTTACCCGGCGTCAAGGAGATGGATGGACCCGATGTGTCCTCTTCCCAAAAAAGGGGACTTCCTGCAGGGACATACATGGACTGATTGTAGCTAGGTGTTGCTCACATAAGCTACTCAAGTTCGCACCTTACATGAAGGAGACAAGCCTTTTTTTGGGGTTATACAGACCTGTCATGTTTTTTTGCTGTTTGGGGTCGAGGCTGGTGTAATTTTGGGTTTTGGAAAAAGGAAAGCTCCAACTTTGGCTCCCCATGTCTTCCTAGTCTAAGGGCAAAGTCAAGCCACCTGGCAGCAGGCCCTAGTTGGGCTTGGATTTCGCTTCAGGCCCCCGTGGTTTGGCGTGTCTTGGTCAACCATTGCATGGGTTGAAATAGATTCCAAACAAAGAGCGGCATTTCCCGGTGGTTTCCCTTTGGACACCAATTCGAAGAACTTAGGCTTTACACCCTCATCGAAAGTTCCAAGTTGGGGCAAAAAACATCGGTAACGTTGATAAAACACCTGGGCACCAAAAAAAACGGTGGTTGCCCTTGCCCCTCAACACCAACCAAAAACAGGGGTGGCCTCACAAGAACCACAGACCCTGTAGCAACCTAATATGAAATCATGTTGTTCAGATGGGAATCCCGCAACCAGGCGTCTCAAATGCCATGAAGTGACAGAGGACTGGCTGGCGTCCCTTTCTTGCACTGCCATCTATGTATATATATATATATATATATATACATTTATATATATATATATATGTGTGTATATATATATATATATATTATACAGCTATACATATATATAT